GCTCATTGAATCCTCAATGCATGGTCAGACAGTGCAGAGATGGGGAGGGAAAAGGCGAGAAAAGAGAGAGAGAAAGGGGCCAGGTGTATACACTAGGACGACCGCCAGCCGTTTCAGGTGACCATAAAAATGGCCCTGCTCCTCCCTTCTATCTTCCTCTCTGCCTTCCTCTCTACCAAACTTACTTCCCTCTATTCATCCCTATCCTTAAGAACTTACATCCACTCATTTTATATATAGATAAACCTCCTCACCGTCGTCCGCCATAGCTTATTACAAAGCACTACTATATACTTAACGATAAGATATAAACTTATCTTACGCCTCTTTCTTTAAGAGAAGCTAGCTTTTAGCTTAAGAATATTATAATATATAATACGAGAAGATTAATAAATACTATTAATTAACGACTCTTTATATCGATATCATTAACTTATATATTAATCGTTTTAAAGATTTATAAAGAGAGTAAGTTATCTCTAGTATAAATTCTATAATTATTATACTTTTATTATTAATTCTCGATCTCTAGATATTATAATACTATTGATATTAATTTCTATTACACACTTAAAAGATTAATAAAAGATCGAATTAAGAATTTCTTTTCTTAAATATATAATAACTACTTTATTAAGAAAATTAATTTAATTAAGATTTATTAGTATTAACTAAGCTAGCTCTATATTAAATAAAAGAGTTAACGAATTAATTTTTAGATCTTAAAGTAAATCTATAATATAAATTAAGATATATACGTTAATATTTCTATATATACGAGTAACGTTAAAATAGTTTATTAACGATCTATTAGCGAAAGAATATAGGCTAGACGATAGTAAAATCGATAAGTCTCTCTTAAATACGATCGATTTTATAAAGCTACTACGTTATTATTAGATAATAGATATTAATATCTTCTCTTATAAACGATAACGAATTTAGCTAGCAACAATTCTATTAATCGCGATATTTATTAAATCCCGATCTAGAGCCCTTCTTAAAATCACCTATCGCGATCTAAATCTATTTATCTAGCGCGATAAGACTATCGAGAAAGTAGCGCTTATCTTATAGCTAAAGCTTACTCGAATTAAGTCTTATAAAAAGCGTAAGAGATTATAAATAATCGCTAAGTAATTAAGTCTATTAATCTAATAGATATATAGGAAAATCTATATATTCTTTATCGATATTAATTTTATCTTTTATATTATATTCTATATTATTAATCTTATCTATAATAATAACGTCTATCTTTTTCTAAATATAAATTCTAAGATAATTCTAACTCTTAACATTTTAAAGAGATTAAACTATTAATCTATTTCGTGAAAAGAGAATATATTAAATATATCGTTATTTCGTACGCCTATATAATTCTCTAAGGCCTATATTATCGCGGTTAATACGTCGATCTTCTACGATAAGTATTAGAAGTAGATTAAATAGTTAGAAAAAGAGATTAACTTCGTATAAGTCTTTACGATCTATTATCTCCGTCGAGTAATAGAAAATACTATTAATAATAAGTTTAAAGGCTTTTAGTCTTAGAGAGTTTAAATTAATATAATTATCTATTAGATAATCTTAATTTTAATAAGATCGTTTATAATCTAATTATAAATTATATTAGCTTAACTATCTTCTAGCGTAACTATCTATCTTATATAATTCGATATAATATTTAGACTATATATGAGAGTATAGCGTCTTAAACGAAGTTAATCTAAGCGGCTAATCGAATAAATTAATAGATTAACTTCTAACGATTTAAAGAGCTAATTAAGATATAGAGTATAAATATCCGCTAGAAGAAAGAGATCTAGAAGCTTCGCGATTATTAAGACGAACTATTTTAATATATTTAATATTAATTTATATTTATTTATCGTATAGCGGGATAAGTTATCTATAATTAATATAAGAAAATTAAATAAACTATAAATTAAAAGATTAAAGCGTAAGAGTAAGAACTTATAAAGTAGATTTAAAAAGAATATAATATTATCGCTTTAATATAAGATATATAAGCGTAATTTAAGAAAGATATAAAGTTATTTAATTCTATTCTTTATATCTTAAAGCGCGTTTAATACGCGTTTATAAAACGATTATATATCGTTAAGGTCTTCTTTAATCCACTATTAACTCGTAATATCGAGGGCGATATAAATTCGCGTATCTCTATTATCGATAATATAATATTACTCTATATTCGATAGAAGAGAATATTCCGCAAAGCTCGTTAAATACGAAGGATTTAAGCGAGGGAAACTAATTTTAATAATAACGTAAAACGTTTCTTAAACGCTATCAAATCCGAGTCTAAGTTAACTCCTCAATCTCTTATCTCTTTTCTATAAGATATAAACTCTATTAATATCTTTACTATCTCGATAATATCGATCTATCTTTAAAGAAGCGACTTTATAATCTTAATAATAAATATTCGTTATAGCGATACTTCGATAATCGTTACCCTTTTCGACCTCGCGAATTCTATTCTTTTCTTTATTTTAAATATATAATAATTACGCTTAATAATATAATATACTTTAAGAATTATATAGCGATCATTTATGAAATCTATATAACTAATAAGATTTAATATATCTCGTAGAGTTTTAGACTAATTATTAATATTTCTAGTCTTATAAATTACTTATATATATAAAAGTAACTATTTTACGATTTATTTATCTTTATACTTTAATAACTTAAAAAGTTCTAGTATTAAGAGAGTAGAAACATTCTATACTTTTCTAAATTCGTCTTTATAAGACTATATTCTAAGATAGTATATTAACTCGAAGGATATATAGTATTCGAGAGTATACTTTCTATTATATATTACTATATTATCTAGAGTAATAAAATAATATTAAACTTTTAAGCATTAAACTTTCTAATTTTATACGTTCTAATTCTCTAATAATATTAAAATTTATATATCTTTAAATTATATAGCCTTCGAGTTTATAGATATTTTAAGCTTACTTACCCTTAAAACTTATATAATCTTCGAGTTAATAAACTTTCTTAGAGTATATAACCTTTCAAAGATGAATCCGAGGAATTAGAGAGTACCTTACTCTTTTAATATCAGAATCGAAGTTTAAAAAAGAGAGTTAAAATTAAAGCTTTACAGGTCTTCCAAAAATAAAACTAAAGAGAGAGTTTAAAAATAAAATATAGAAGTGCGAGGAAGATGAGATAAAGGGGATTTAGAAGTAGAGTAGGAAGTTTAGAAATATACTAGTACCCGTTTCTAATATATTTTCCTACTTATTTCCTACTAAAAACGTTAATATTAAATTAATAGAAAAGATAGAAATATCTTATATAGTAAAAGTAAAAGCGTAGTAATTTATTAGAAGAAAATTAAACTTAATAAAAAAAGTAGATTAGCTAGCGCGATTAAATTACGTAGATATTATATTAATTATCTATAGAAATAAAAGCTATTATACTTATCGATCGACTAATTATAAATAATAGTCTTTTAATATAATAGAGATTATATATATAAATTTAATATATCGACCTTTAAGTTAACTCGAGCTTAGAAAGTCTTATACTCGTTATCTATTAATATACTATTTAAAGACTTTAATTATACTATTTATAAGATTTTATATAACTTAAAAATAAAGAAATCGTTAAACGAGAGATCTAGTTTAGTCGAGACTTCGGAAGGCATATAAATAATAAAGAATTCGATATCGTATCGTATACATTTAGTAATATAGATAATACTATAGAATAGCGATATTAAGTGTAAAGATTAGCGATAAGTATAAAAGCTAATAAATATACTAGGTAAAAGATATTTATAGTAAATCATATAGTTAAAGAATAAAGAAGTAGACTGACGAAGGGCGACGCTTGAGCTTTTAGAAATCAAATAGTCATTAAGGCTTCGTATAGTCTCTCGTTGGGTAACACTCGCGATTAGATTTGAAATAATATCATATGAGAATACATAATCAGGAAGCATAGATAAATAGTTGTTGCGAAACAAATCAGAGTACTCGTACATGAATTTATGACCGTGGAGAGACGATTACGCCTTGGCGTCCTATGAGCCTTCATAGTCTACGTATTTATGGACAGTCACCTCCATACCGGGTCTCTTACCTCGGGCAAATTACCGAATCATACCCCGAAAGTACGAATCCTTACCGAATCATACCCCTAATTACCGAATCATACCCCTACACCAAATCACACCCAAATATGGGGTATGATTCGGTAATTTGCCATTGCTTGGGGTATGATTTGGTAAGTTATCGAAGTGGCCTAGGCCTCAAACTACGAAGGAGATAATCCGCGATCTGACTTATTCGATCATAGAAATAAGGGAGTTTCTCCGACCGCATTTGATGAGAATTCTATCAGCCTAAAACCATCAGACGAAAAAGCCGAGTGGACGAAATTTCGAGCCCGAGGGTATCCGCACTTCACGCTGCAGACACCCCTATTCGGGTCCCGTAGGCCCCGTAAGGCCCCGTAAGGCCCCCGAAGGAATAATTTCTACTACGCTACGCAACGGGGCGGGGTAAACTTAGGGGGTCAAACCTCGCCCCGAACCCCGCCCCGAACCCCGCCCCGTTGCGTAGCGCAAACACCACCGTCATCAATAATCAAGTCGACGACTACTACCAGACGCTCAGTAAGCCTACCGCTACCATTAACTTCATTAAACCCTCTTACCGTATATCAGAAAGCTATTATTTAAGATCCTCATCAAATTATACCCCAAGCAATGGCAAATTACCAAATCATACCCCATATTTGGGTGAGATTCAGTAATTAGGGGTATGATTCGGTAAGGATCCATACTTTTGGGGTATGAATTAGTAATTCGCCCCTCTTACCTCAGATCTTGCGGCTTCTTCTGCCTCACACTTGGCAAATTTTGCCTCCTTTCCCGGACTCAGAGCTTCAGGCGGTGTGACTTGCCGATGCCTCTTCCGGCAGTTGAATAAAAGGCCAGATTATACACCTCGTTGCGCTCGTTTAATATCGTGTCTGATCTCGGCGTCATATAGGAAGGAACAGAGTTGCGCGCATGTGATCCGAACGACAGTCGTACTCTGCGTTTGTTGAGCTATATTGGCGAAGCAAGATTTTAACGCAAAATCATAGAGCTGAAGGGACAGTCCTTGCCCCGGAACGGTAGTTCCGTCGTCGGCACGAAATACCTGCCAAAAGCGAAGAGGCCATCAGCATTGAACTAATGCAGATACTGATTGACAATGAGCAAGCAGGGAAGCGATTACATCTACTTCCCGAACACTGAACGTCTCCAGAAGAACGGCTTCTTCCTTCTCCGGAACTGATACTAATCGAGATCGCCAGATGAATAGCGACGCCTTCTTCGACCCAACGCCGTATTCAATATCAAGCCCAAGGACCATAGCAATGTTTCCGTCGGAACCGGACACATATTCATCAGCCAGCCTCGTCAACTCTTTCTGGTGCTGTGAGTATGACGTCTCGATCACGACGGAGGGATATTGAGAATTGGCGTGCGCAAAGGAGGCGTCTGATGAGTGCTTCGGATAACGTTCGTCGATGGCTTCATATCCATAGAGATAGACATCCGAGGTAGACTCTGATCTGACCAGATCAAGAACAGCTGCAATATCCGTGTCCCCACGAGCGACGCTCTTCAACTGGGATGCAATCTCCTGAACAACAAGCTCGGGTAAATTACAAATTCATACCCCAAAACCTTGAATCCTTACAAATTCATACCCCTAATTACATTTTCATACCCCAATGGGGTATGAATCGGTAATTTGCCATTCCTTGGGGTATGAAAATGTAATTTACCATAGTGCGCTGAGGTTAGATCTTCGGGGGTTGCGAAATTAGCCCGGACCGGCCTCGGGAACCCCGAACTGAAGACCTCTAGGGTTCGCCGTGTAACTCGTCAAAACCTCGCTCCGGGGTCTAATCCCCAACTCACCCCAATCCGCGATAAATTTAGGGTTCAATTTTCTAGGGGCTTTTTAATGCTTCCGGGGCTTCTTTAGGGACGTTAAACGCCGGACACTCAAAGGCCAAATTTTAATAAATTACAAATTCATACCCCAAAGAATGGTAAATTACATTTTCATACCCCAAGATTTAGTGGAGGGGTATGCTGTACAGAGGTTGCACATGCGCTAGTGCAGCCCTAACCCTACTTTCGGAAAGCGGCCCTATAGAGGGGAAGCCTAGAAATATCTTCTCACAGCGCATGGATGGGACTTTAGGTACTTCTTTTGGCTTGATAGGGGTATTAAGCCCCGAAACCTGGCTAGGGCTAGGTGCGATTCCGAAGAACTCTAGACGCATTGTCTAGGTAGCCCTTTAGGTGGGGCGTTATCCGAAGTCTGAGCGCAAGAGTCTTGGCGGGTGCAGGACTTTCGGTGCAGACCTCTGTAGAGCACTCAGCTTCGTAGTTAGTCCCGGGAGCTCCCGCTTAGGAACGTCCGAGGGGTCCCTGTACGAAGACCGCATTAGCCCAACATAAGCCCAGTTGAAGGAATAGCAAGATTCTACCTGCCCCATCCTATAAAGCACGAGTGCTCAGAGCCTTTAGCTGGTCTTCATCTTGCTACGAAAGTCTAAATTGCTGCTACCCTTACGCAACACCTCCTTAGTAAGCTTCCATTCACACACGTGTTGAGCTCAGCTGACGGTCTTAGCCCACTCTACTCAGTGCTCCTGTTCCCGCGTCCATAAATTCCAGTCCATTGATACCCTTGTTCTCAAGCGAATATCCTCAGTAAGCTGCTCCTTCCTCAAAGGCTTGCGTTTGCTTCGCTCACTGGAATAGTCTAGCCAGCATTTCTCCGTGCCCCTAATCTCACGCCTCGTTACGAATCCTCCTCATCGACAAATTTCCTGCATAACTTCTCGCCACCTCTTGTCTGGTGTTGCGGAACGCCCATCTGACTCAAGCATGTCGGCCGCCGAAGTCGCACCGCTTATCGATCACTGCGATTGGGCGACGGGGAGAAAAAATGATGGGACTACCTACAGATACAAGGTCACGGACTGCGGACAAACAACCTGCAAATATTCGACGGCATACGTGCCGCCGAAATAAAAGTAATGGGCAGTGAGTGGGCTCTTCGGCAGCACCGATACTATTCACTACGGGTGCTTGGGCATAGAGCTACCTCGGCCTAGCGGCCTCTTTGCATTCCATCTACTCGTGTAGCAAATGACGCCGGACATTCGTTCTACTCCTTCAATATGGGACTTTGGGCATTCTTTTTCTTTTCAAACATAGGACTCTAGGTATGCCTTCTCCTACTTCAACATAGGACTCTAGGCATTCCTTCTTCGGCTTCAACATGCATGCGACTCTATGTACTCAGCTTTAGCATTAGTCGACACCTAGTCATTTAACATGACTGATAACTCGCAACTTGAGCCCAAAATGTCGCCATGAATGATAGTGTATACTATATGGCCTGCTCAGTGGGTTGGGTACACTCGTGATATCACCTCCTCTCTCAACAAGGTATGTCAGCATGCCTGTAACCTATGCTCGTGGCGCATGCCTGTAGTCTTGCTGAGCGCCGTGTGCAGTACCCCCGTCGCCGAGATGTTGGAGACTTGACTGCCCCATTCCCCAAGCTCTTGTCTAATCGTGTAGAATCGAATGTAAAGCAACGCATACAATCGGTGTAGAATCGCAAAGCCTCTTGGAGTAGGTTCGCTATGTGGATTGCTGAATACCGTAGTAACATGCTCACTCATTTTCGTCGCCATTCTAGTAGGCTTATCTAGAGTGCTATGAAGGTTGGAATGGAGAGGTCGAAGCGGGGTTAAGAGGTAGAAGTGTGGTAAGAGGTGAAGCAGAGTTCGGGCTTCACAGCGAATGTATTGTAGGCGGATTTCAGCGTTCGATGTGGGTGTAAAGAGTCCTCTCCTTGCAGGTCTGTTGGATCAGCTGTTTCGGCCGCTATCCGCCTCGCGATTCCTCCAGTGGTCTCGTCCTCTTGTATAGTGTCCTTGCTGGAGTTTCACTCAGTGGTCTCGTCCCGTGTGACGTCCTTATTGACTAGGTGCTTCCGACTGGTTACGTAGTTTACCGGCTTCCATTATCTCTTGGAACGTAATGGGTCGTCCTCACACTAACCTTAAAACCACTGTATTGTTTTGGCTCTGCTCACAGCTATGGCGAGTTGTAGGCAGTAGTAGTAGGTTCTTTTAGCTAGGGCTACTCACTGAGTATACTGAGTAGATGGGGGGCCGTTAGGTTTGTCCCTTGCGACCCCGGCCGGTACAAGGTGAATGACTTGACTGATATCCTATAATTAACGGATCTTCATTTTGTTATCAGGATCGTGTCATGAATAATAGCTATGGTGAATATAGTAACTATGGTAGCTGTAGACGAGGAGAATAATCATGAGGAAAGAAAGGTGAAATCGCCTTAGGAAGACTTTATATTAAGGCTGGCCAGAGTATAAGTTAGGTAGCCCTATACACTATGGCCTACTCAGTGGCCTTGGAGGTTCATTCTGAGAACTCCGGATTTGCAATTTGACCCTCATGATCGCTGTCCTAAAATGCCTTCCAACCTATGCCCCGAGCCGTTCTCGCTTTTACACCTCTCAACATGAATCAAGCATCTTTGAGAAAGTTCTTGTAGAGCTGCATCAATCCAAAGTCATCATTCTTTCGCACCGAAATCCCAGTGATCGAACCATTTGTCCACCCGGGTGTGCCGATACCGAACGATAAATCACCCTCCCTCTGACATGAATCGAAGTCGATAATGATCGGCACGTCCTCCTTGTCCAGCATGATATTTGCGGGGTTAATATCATTGTGATTCAAACCTAGATCGTGAAGATGATCAAGGCCGTTTTTGACGCCTTTCAAACATGAACGGAGGTTCAAAGGTCGATTGCTGTCTCTCAAACGGTCTGATAAGGTTTCTTTGTATCTGACGAAGCAAAGACCGGTGACAAGGCCTTCATCACGGACGCAGCCTAGATACGAGGCAATATGTGGATGTGGATGACGGCGCAGTATCTCGCACATGTGCGCCTCGTGAAGTAATATTTCGCGAGGTTTAGGACCTGTTTCTGAGCCCAATCCGATTAATGAGGGCTTTTTGAGAAATGTGTCATTTGGTAGTGGGTGGGGCGCAAGCGTGAGATGGTCCGTGAATGGAGGCCAAAGATCTTCTTTTGGAATGGGAATCAGAGGGCAATCGAGTTGTTCGGCGTCGATGTCCAGAGAGATAGTAAATTCGAGTTGACTCTGTGCTTTGAACACCTCGGTGCCCTGTGAAAGTACGATAGAATAATGATCGAAGGTCCAGTCATCTCCATCTTCCCTGTAAGCCTGGAGACATTGGATAATCTTCATGATGCGCTGAGAAGGTGTAAGTATTGAACATTCGCCAAGAGGAGAAGGGGAGGCAGTGTACCATCTTTGGAATTAGGGCACAATTGTTTTTCAACTGCAGAAGCGTGATTTGTAGAGTATGATGTGAATCTAGGCAGCTTGAGCTAGCGACACGACTTGGGTATCTGAAGAATACGCTGAAGTGGTCACAGATGATGTGTATTATGTGTATCACGTATCATGTATAATAGGGTTTCATGCGGCCTTGTTACCAAAAATTAATACCAGGACGCTGGTTACCTAGGAATAAAAGGCTTTTCGAGTCGCTGAATGAAGATGTTGTTAGGACTGTACCAAGGTTGGAACATAGAATCATGGTTAATGAGGATATTAATGATGAGAAAGGAAGTACAGTGCAAGCGCACGAGGGTCGGGGACAAAAGTCGTTGGACACTTTGGTAGGGCTTAGCGGGGATCGGTGTCCAACGACTTTTGTCCCCGACCCTCGGCAGGTAGAGATAGGGGTGCGCCAAGGCACGCTAGGCTAATGGCCACTTTGTTTGGAAAGTTAGTAATGGTCTTAGACGAAATTTTAGGCAGTCGTCACGGAATACGCTTAGCATTTTCTCATCTCTAAGGGCAGCTAGCCTTCAAGTTCTGCGAGTCAACCAAGGTAAATACTTGTGCCTCAAGCTTCAAGGTATGAAGACTTCCGTATCTTATATCGTAGATTCAGCGACCGCAGGCAGCGGATGATGAGCTCCGCTAGGGGACCGCCATGCAAGCTTCGCACCTGGACGTTCGCCAGGGAGGACCGCACTTTGGAAATACCAATGCTCTCAATAGTCAGATCTTTCAGGGCAATTTCTATGGACTCACCATCAGTTAGAGACCCACCAATACAGATAGAACACAAGCTGATAATGCTCAGATCCCACGGCTGCTGCCCAGATCCCTCCAAGCACCTATGGAGGCCGCTATTCCCATTCGTCCCTCCGACCGGTCCCCAACTACGTCTGGCGACCACGGTTGCACCAGAAGATCAAAGAGCAGTTACGCGACCTCAAGGATGACAGGGTGGAAGACGTGCGGATCCTGGTGGTGTGGGGGCTCGGTGGAGCGGGCAAACCGCAGCTAGTGCTGAATTATATCCGCGAATATCGACAGGACTACATTATGGTGTTCTGGATTGAAGCTGGATCGAAAGAGTCGATCGAACGCGAGTCAAAGGGCTGAAGACCTATGAAAGTTGCGCGACCGATATCCTCTATATGGTGTAGTGCCAGAGCTGGCTGATATTGATGTTTGATGACAGCACAAATGTCCTCCGCTTTGTATGATGGGATCCAACGCTGGCAGAAGGCAATGTCCTCCCAAGCTTCGAGGGGCAAGGATGGTACAGGACTCAGGAGATTCTGCGAAGATTTTTCATATAGCTGGAATACAACTCAACAATCTCACCACACCTCTGGAAATGGGATCTCACCTGTATTGGTTCCAATTCCTGAGGAAGATAGACATGATCATCTCCAGGAGGGTATGTCATTACGTCGTCGCCCCGAACAAGAGCCGGGGCAAGCTGGAGCCGCTGATGATTTGGTTGGATCGTAATAAGGTTCCAGCTTCCACGAGCCTCTCCCTGGCGCACGGGATGCTGGTTCAGCATCATCCGTAGAGTACAGTTCCAGTATCCTTCTTCAAAAGCCTAGTCTACTGGTGCTAACAGCTTGATCCTAGTATTATCACAATCCACGGCGCACAAGATCGTGAAGAATGGAAACGATCAAATCTGGAGGATGATGGGAGATTAGAGAGTCAGCAAAGGATCGGACTCGACGAGTCACTCGATATAGATCAAGATGTAGATCCACATGCCCGGGAAGACATTCACGCGGAAAGCTCAGCGGGTTATAAGAAGCTTAGAGGATTAAGTCATCCAACGACGAAGTTGATTGGTCGCAATTTGAGCAGCATTCAAAAGATATGAGGAGAGTCAGTATCTGTCTAGCCTAAACAATTTTTTTAAACACCCAATTAGAGCCGTAATCTCTAATGAGGTCTCTGCTCGGTATTTGTTTGAAGATAATTTTGGTCTATTATGCTTTTTGCCATCAGTCTTAGTATACTTCTGTAAGAGAGTTCACAGAAAATAAATGCGCAACCTAGCAAATGACTTCACTTAGGATTTCTCCTAATCTGACTACAGGAGCCCTCGTCGAGCATTAGATGGCAATAGCGTATAACGGTATCGATCACTGCAAGACTTTGGATAAAAGCAAGCCCTTTGCCGAAATATAGTGGCGCTTTCTCATGTTTCCAACACACTACTCTAATAGGCTTGCAATCGAATCGTTCTCATTGACGTCGAGAGGTACAAAGCTGCAACCCCCTCTGGTACCCAGCATCCATCAAGATCTGCGGACTTCGCGGTTGTGTAGGCTCAACCCCGCACGTACAACAGGCATACCGCAGATCTTATACATTTCTCTGCTCTGCTTCGCGATTCTGCCCAGACGACGTCCTTGGCGCCTATGGGACCAATCCCTCTCCTTGTCCTTCCGACGATGATCGGCAGCTGTCCTTGCATCTTCGCAATGTTTCTTTCAACCTGTATCAATTGCTTCTAGTCGGCTGGAATAATCTCCACTAGCATTAATCCCTAGGCAGTTCTCCCACGATCTCAACGTCTCACAAAGAGTATCGCGAGCCTTTGGCGTCAGGTGGATACATTTATTTTTGCTCGTAATGTTCTAAAGAAGACTTGAATCAGCTCTAGATCTTCATACAGACAAGGAATGCTTACCTCAACACGTTTCAAGGGTATCAAGACATGGATCTCTCTGCTAGATGTGCTATGGAGCTTTGGGGAAGAGATACCGTAGGCGTAACAAGTGTAAGAAATCAAGCGATAGCCCAAAAGCTGACCATATAGATATCCTCTTATGCTTCCAGATCACCTGTCTTGTTGTGCTCTGGCCCTTTCCGATGCCGGTGATGAGTAGATGGATAATTTGCAATGGCCGCAATTCGGGTGACCGCTTTCGCATTGCTTCCAATTACCTCCACGCTACCTTCTGCCTCTTGATTTCGCACGTAGCGGTAATGGTGACCTACTAGAGCGCACTCATGAGGCATTTCTGTGGGCTTGGAAGTACTCAGGGGATAAGCGGGTTTGCTTTTTCGTCGCAAGCGAAGCTGTTCTTGTAGAAGACGTTGTCACGGACCTCCCAAACCTCCTCGGATACGAGTGCCATTAGTGTTTTTAAGGCCACTGCGTGGTCATTAAAGGGTTCGAACATGGTGCGTGGGTATTAAGGTGCGCTGTTCTGCTTCTTTTCGACTCAACCTTTTTGACTCGGGGACCAGAATCGCGCGTCTCCCACGATGCTGAAACTGTTGAGATGTTGTTGGACCGTAATGGGGACACTGGTCGTAGAATCTTGCTCTCCATGTCACATAGCTCGGAGAGCTCTTGATCATCAAAGTTTGGGGGGTGTATTATGGGCATAGACGATCCGGCTCTGTTGCTGAACCGGACCTGGAAAAAATCTCTTGGGCGCATTGAGGGGACGATACTCGATCTATAATTAATCTTCTTAATATAAAAGATTTCTACGGAGGTTGCCACCGAAAGTCCTGAACATACGCTAAAACCCTTGGCATTCTTGGTATTTCTAGCATTTTGGCAAATTTCTTGAATAGCTTCATAATCTACATACGATGTTTCATATAATTACGTATGTACTGATTTGCTCGGTCAGCTGGATCATAGGGCCGCTTATCCCCTCCTTCACGGCCCTCCCGATACTCGTTACCGCCTCGTAAACGAATAACTTCGGCAATATATCTAGGCATACGCTGCTATCGCTACTGTGCACACAGTAATATCGCAACTATATACCCCGTATATATACAGTAATATCGCTACTATGTACTTCATATGCATACACTCCATATATATAGCATTGATGTCGCTACTATGCAAAGCATTGATATTTAAGATATTCAAGATATTTGCCAAGAATGCCAAGGGTTTTGAAGCCCTAACCCTAATGTTCAGGACTTTCGATGGCAACCTCCGTACTTTAAAATAATCGTTCTAGATTTAAATAATTATAATTCATTTATAATTTAAAAACTAAGAACTATCGCTTAGACGCTTTTACTTTCTATTTAAAATAATATAAAATAAATCGAGATATATTATATCTAGTCGAAACTATCGAAGTCGCTATATAATTAATTAAATTATATTATCGCTAAGATCTCTAAAATATTATTAGCTTTTCTATATAAGATATATTAAATAAAAAAATAATACGCCTTTATTTATATATTATAAATATTAAAGAGTTAGATAGCGAATATCTAGATTATATATTTATTTAATTATAAAATATTCGTAATAGAGATTAAAAGCTAATTATCTTAGCTATCGCTAGAAAAAGCTAAAAGAAAATAATTTTAGTCTTAACGTTAACTACGTAATTCCCAGCTATTATTAATAAAGATATATCAATTAAAAAAGTAAAAATCTTAATCTCGAAAGCGAAAGGTATGATATATTCCATGGGATATTCCATATCAAGTGATACCATACCGTACCCGGGTATGGTATGGGTAGGGTCGGATACCATACCATTTTTCTGGTATGGGTTCGGGATCTTGGCGGTATATCCCACGGTATCATAGCTACCACTATCATCTACCATGACTGCCACTACCATGGCTGCCACTACCATGGCTGCCCCTACCATGGCTGCCCCTACCATGGCTGCCCCTACCATGGCTGCCCCTACCATGGCTGCCCCTACCATGGCCGCCCCTACCATAGCTACTACTACCATAACTACTACTACCATGGCTATCATATGATAGTAGGCTATTTCAATAATAAATAGTGATAGCCATGATAGTGGTAGCTGTTAGAATGTCAGGTATGTGATGTGTAGAACGGACGGATCAATTCTCCAGAACCTCTCCGGGGCCAGGTTCTAAATATAGTACAAAATTAGGTAGCTGGAAAACATGGTGGCTGGGATGCGCGGGGGCCACATTTCGATGGTAGGCATGGTAGTGGCAGGCATGGTAGTGGCAGGCATGATAGTGGCAGGCATGGTAGTGGCAGCCATAGTAGTGGCAGTCATGGTAGATGATAGTGGTAGCCATGGTTGGCCAGAATGATGATCAGAATAGCTACTTATACTTCTAAATATAGAAATCTCAGTCGGGATATCCCATACATATACCATTCCATGGTATGATACCACAGATATACCATACCGTGGGATATCCCGCCAAGATCCCATACCATACCAGGTATGGGATCATGCAAATCTCAATAACCCATACCATACCAGAGTATGGTATGGCAGGTCAATATCCCATACCATACCATACCTTTCCGGCTTCGCTGCGAAAGAAGAAAGAAATCTTAACGCGAGTACTTATCTTAAAGATAAAATATCTTAATAATAAATAAATAATCTTATAATTAATCTCGATCTCGATCTTAAACTCTAGTCGAGTTAATTTTAGAGAAGATAAATAGAGTTTTTAATTATTAAAATAGCTAATATAATTCTAATAATATAGTATTATATCTATATATAAGAAATAAATCTCTATTATTATAATATTCTTAAATTATCTTAATATCTTTAATATTTATTAATTATTTAACTTCTCGATAAAATATTATTCGCTATTTCGAGTATTAATAGATAATAAATCTTTATAAATAAAAATCTAAACTATATCGAGCTAATCTTAAAGCTTAGCGAGACTTCCCTTATATACTTAAATCTCTAATATATTATAAGAAATATTTTAATAGCGAGAGTAAATATATATTAAGCTCTCTTATCGATTTTAATTTAATATTAAAATAATTAACCTCTAAATTTCTACTAAAATCGATATTTAATAAAGATCTCTTTAATTTTTAAGCGCGTTTAATTTCGTCGATATTATCTATCTTAATTATTTCTTTAAGCTCTATTAATATATAAACTTTATTCTTAAATTTAGACTTTAATAAAGCGAGTTTATTTAATTTATTCTCTAACGAAGAGAGTTTATCGAGTCTTTAAATATTATATCTTTCGAGAAATCTAAAATCTCGATTTCTTTAAGTCGTCTTAATAATATTAATAAGCTTAAAAATATTTTTAATTATTAAATCTAAAAATAATAATTTAAAAATAAATTAAAGCTATTTAAATTATAGCGCTATA